CCAAGTCCTTTTGTTTTTGTATTTTGTTTCTGAGACAGGGTCTTACTAACTTTTCCCTCGACTGGCTTTGAACTTGAGATCCTCCTGTCTCTGTCTCATGGGTATTTGGGATTACAGGTATGTGCCACTATGCCTGCTAGGCACTGGATCAGGTCTGGCTGTCCATCAGAAATTTTACTCTCTCTGGGGAAGTGCCTTTGGATTTCTCTCTAACAAGGATCCCAGTTGAAAGCTGGCTGGCAAGAATGTGGCGTTTGCCTTCCTCAAATAATGAGTCTGCAATCTAAACCTGGCTTCTCCCTGGATGACTGAGAAGAAGGTTACCCAGACTGCTGGACTAGTGGCTTAATAAAATGAGTCATGTCAGTGTCTGTCAACCCCTCTAAGAGCAGCCCTCCAAGGAGACACTGTGCCTTCCTCATTTTAGCACTGATGAGTTGCTCATGACACATGCATTGCTTTGAAGAATGAAGAAAGGGAAAGAAGGAAGGGAAAGAAGGAAGGAGGGAGGGAGGAAATGACTTTCTGAGAGAACAGGTTGCTCTCAAACTTTCATTTCCAATTAAGGAAGTAAAGCCGGAATCAATCTCTCTCTTTCTCTCTCTCTCTCTCTCTCTCTCTCTTTCTCCAGTACTGAGGTTTGAACTCAGGGCTTTGCACTTGCCAGGCAAGTACTCTACCATGTGAGCTTCACCTCCAGCCCTTTTTTGCTTTAGTTATTTTTTAGGTAGGGTCTTGCACTTTTGCCCAGGGCTGGCCTCAGATCAATATCCTCCTACTTATGCCTCACATGTAGCTGGGATTATAGATATGCCCCACCATACCTGGATTGTTTATTGAGATGGGCCCTGCTACCTTTTTGCCCAGGCTGGCCTCAAGCCAAGATCTTTCTGATATCTACTTCCTGAGTAGCTGGGATTATAGGCATGAGCCACTGGGACTGGCCTTTTTAAGCTCTTTTTAACATCATCATTACCACCACTGTCATAAAATTAGCAAACATGTTTCTGTGTTGCACATACTAGATTGAGCTCTTATGTACATTTTCCACTTTATTCTCATGGTAATCCTGCAACACAGATGTTATAAGCCCAGTCTCCCAGGTGAGGAAACTGGAGTCTGATAGGTTAAGGAATTGTCCCAAGGTCACACAGTTGGAAAGTGGCTACAGCAGCTTCTCTGTCCAGGTCTGTCTGAGTCCAAGGCTCCGTATTCTGTGGCATGCAGCCATTATAAAAGCCACCATTCACTGACCACCTAGTATATGCCAAGCCCTGGGTTAGGTGCTTTATTTCAGCTAATCAGTGGCATCTATGAAACAGTCTGTATCATCACCAATCAGGGACTAGAGACACCCATGCAGGTTAAATCACTTCCCCAAGGTCACATGGGGCTAGGATTAAATTTCTGGGTTCTCTCCATTAAAGGGCCCAGAACCACAGTCCTGTGTGAGAGGAACAAGAGCAACAACTCAAACCTGGTCACGGACTTCACTGTATCCCAGTTCTACAAACAAGCACTGTACTAGTGGCTAGACCAAGCATGCCAAGTCAGAGTCAGTGCTGGTGGCTCCTGCCTGTCATGTCACTACATGAGAGGCTGAGATAGGGAGGATCATGGTTCTGGGAAAAAAGTTCATAAGACCCCATCTCAATGGAAAAAGGCTGGGTGTGGTGGTGCCTGCCTATCATCCCAGCTATGGCAGGCAGTGTAAAATAGGAAGATGCCAGCCTGAGCAAAAAAATGAGATCCTATCTCCAAAATAGCAAAGAGGGCTGGGGGTGTGGCTCAAGTGGTAGAGCACCTGCCTAGAAAGCATGATGCCCTGAGTTCAAAACCTGGTACTGACAAGGCAGCAGCCTAACAAGAGGAGCAGCTAACACCCCATGTTTCTAGATGACTGGTCAGTGAAGCTTATTCTGCAGAGGCATCCATTTGGCGAGCTACAGTGACAGCTATTTCTTCTCAATCCAGATCAGCAAGAGGCAGGGGCATAAGAATTCAGGCAAATGTTAGGTAAAAGGAATTTCACAGAACCATTTTGGAAGTCTCCACTATCTAGTCATTTGTAGAGCAAATACTACATCCCAGGCCCTGCCTGGAGTTTGCAGGTTTGCAGAGATGAATGGCTTCTGCTTTCAAAGTGTATGTAATGTAACTGAAGGTGACAGATATATAAACAACAATCTGGGAGCTGACTTCTCTTGCTTCTGCTACTCATCTTGAGTGTGATTTTCTGCAGGGGATTTAACCCCACTGGACTCTGAATCCTCACTGTAAAATTAAGTGAAATATATAAAGCATCCACGTTCCTCTCCCTCATTTCTTCTCTCCTTCCTTTCCTTCCTTCTTTCCCTTTCTTCACTCTGCAAGGCAATTTATATGCATATACGTCGTGAGCAACTCCTAGGTGTTGTAAGACTCAAAACAGTGCCTCCCTGGAGGGCTCTGCTTAGAGGGGTTGACGGACACATAACTCTCTTTATTAAACCACTTGTCCAGAGTCACGTATCTAGGGGTGACAAGGCCAGGATCTGAAGCCCGGGAGGGCCTGACTCGAAGGCCTGTACCTTCCCGATTGCACAGCCAGTTTTCCCAAAGCCGGCTTCTTTGGCTTACCTTGAGCCAGTCAGACCTGCTGGAGCAACAGTGCTGAGACCCCACTGCAGCCCCCACAGTGACTCATGACATTTAGGCTACAGGTTCAGTAAGTGGCCAGGATGACACCCAGGGGACATGTTCCTGCTGCCATGGAGCAGGCTGGCAAGGTCAGGGCATCCCATAAGCAGACTGGCCACGGTAGTCAACAAGCCATAGCCCAACTGGATGCCGTATGGGCTGGGTAACGAGAGCTGAGCGAGTAACATTTTCCTTGGTAGAAACATAATTTACTTGATTAAAAGAACTCATGCCAAAGGAAGGGCCACAAGCATCCATACGAAATGACACAATTGAATGAAGGAGCAGGAAGCTCCCTGTCCGGAAACAGAAGCAGCATTTCTGGACAAAACAAATGAATAGTTTTTTTCCTCCTCTGTTGCTCCTGGCTCCATGTCTGACTGGCCTGTGAATGGGGGAAGGGTCAGTCCTCTCCTCAGTTTCTCACCATTCTTGGGGTGCTCTCTAAGGTATCCGCATCTTTAAAGAGGTGCCCAGCTGAATGCTGGGCTTGAAGGACTCGCCCTTTCACCTTTCCCATCCCATCATGCTCCTCGGGAGGACGGGCTGGGGCAGCAGGAAGAACCTGGGCTCTGGAGTTTGATGAACCCTTGACACTGTGTCCTGACTCTATCACGGGTCCCCAGTTACATCCGGGATGATAGGAGCCACCTCACCGGGGTCTCTCATGGTTCCCTCTTCAGTCTCCACTCTCCCCTTGCACACCTGCCCCTGGAGCAAATGCTGGTATGTTAACAGGCTCAATGCATGTAGCTCTTCCCAAGTTAAGAGCTTTGGGCTCCAACCTCTGCATTAGAATGACTTAAAACTGCAAACAGACATTCCTGCTCCCAGGTCCTGGTGAGTGTACCGCCATCCACACAGGCATGCGCACGGGAGATCCCTCTGTCCAGCACCCCCCACACCAATCGGTGTCCAAGTCCTTATCAGTACCCTTCCTACCCCTCTCCATTGTCTGCTTAGGACAGGGACAGTCATGAACACAGAAGGCACACAGTCTGTGACGAATGAACTCACCCTGCTGACTTGCAGAGAGTACTCTGCACCTATGAGGCATCACTACAGTGGAAGACATTCCAAAGAAATTGTCACATCTTTCTCTGGTCCCTGCCCTCTGTCCTGACTCTGGGTCTTTGTGTAAGTTCTGCCCCCTGTCTCCCGCCCCTTTCCTTTGTCTAGTTAGTTGTTGCTTGTCTTTTTTTCTTTTCTTTTGCAATACTGGGCATTTAACCCAAGGCCTGTGCTTGCAGTGCTCTGCCACTTGAGCTCTGTCCCCAGCCCTTTTTCTTTGTTTTTTGTTTTTGAGGTAAGGTTTTGGTAACTTTGCAGTTCCCAACTTTTGATCCTCTTGCCTCTACTGCTGGCAAGTAACTGTATTATAGGTGTGCTCCACCATGCTGGGCTAGCTGTTTCTCATTTTTAAGGTTTTTCAAATCTTTTTTGACAGAGCTGGAAATTGAACCCAGGGCTTTGCACTTGCTGAGCAAGTGTCCTATCACTTGAGCTACACCCTAGTCCTTTTGTTTGCATTTTGTTTTTGGGATAGGGTCTCATCGCTACCTTTGCCTGGGCTAGCCTCAAATTCTAGATCCTTCCGTCTCCACCTCCAAAGCAGTTAGGATTACAGGCATGTGCCACCATAGCAAACTAAGACTTGAATTTTAAGGGTTGGGGACTTCCCCTACCCAGGAGTACCACCTCTGTGCCCCAGAATTCCCAGGCACATATTTCTGGCCAAGCACACTGTAACTCCTCCATTTTAAATCCTCCAGTGGACTGTGAGTGATTGACAGGAAGAGATTGTATTCTACTCATTCCTATGACTCCAGCACCAGCCATGGCACAAAATAGACCTCAGTAAGAATCTGTCTGAAAGATGACACAACCAGACAAAGAAAGAACATGTGGGCGTGTGATCTGGGATGCAGCAATGACCCTACCCCGCCCCCCAACAAAATCTTCCAGATGTCAGCTCTGAGGGGAAACAGTGTCAAAGCCATTCAGCTCATCTGGAGACTACAGGATCAGGAAGAGCTGACTGCAAAGTGGTTATTGATCCAAGATTCCCCTCGGACCTTTGATTTTTTCTCTCTCTCCATTTATCACCTAGTGAGAGCAACATGACTTTGCTCATAAAACTTCTGAATGCCTTAGATAGTAGGTTTTTTCAGTGTGGGTGATGGAGGCTGCTTCTCTACCTTCCCTGACATCAGGCATCTCTGAGGCCCATCCTTCTGGTCTCCTCCCACCCAGATGTGGCACTGGAGGTGATCTGGTTCTCCCTGGAGAGCTGCTGCTGGTGTGCAGGCCCATGGACTCACCCTCCATCAAAGGGGTTCTCCCCGGGGATGATGTGTGTGCTGTCTCTGCCCACGAGGAATTTGATGCGGTCATAGAAGGAATGTAGGTTCTGCTGGGACACAGGGGCCTGTGTCTCCTGGATGATTTCCAGAGGGTCAGGGGAGCCCAGGCACAGCGGGTTGACATGACAGAGGGGCTGGAGGCAGCAGTCAGGGTCCATGCAGTCCACCAAGCCATCTGCAGGGCGACAGAGTATATGGTTTATGTAGCTACGTTCAGCTAACCGTGTTTGCCCACAATGCCTCAGATTTTTCTATTTTACACCAGTTTACTGGCAAACTTCAAGTGCAGAGATATGCCAAGCCCTTTGTTAAGCACCAAGAAGATCCAGGTACTTCAGATCTGGCCCCAGCCCACCAGTGTAATAGGTGAGACAGACAAGTGGGTGTAGTGTCTGTCTGGTCTTTTCTTCTGAAGAGCTAGCAGGAATAGAACATATGAAGGCCCAGAGGTGAGCTAACACGTGAACATCTGAGATGCTAAATTAGGAGGTAAGGGAATTGCCCACCAGAGGCCGCCAGGAGGAGCAGCCCATGCTGGGCCTTGGAGGCGAGGTTAGGAAGTTTGCATTTCACCCTAGGGAAGTGGGCGCCCCCTAATGGTTTTAAAAAGGAGGTGAGGTCATTCCATGTGCCCTTGAAACTGAAGGGAAGCTGGTGGTCAGACAGGGCCAGGAGTAGTGCTGAGGTTGCATAGGTGAAAAATATAGGCAGCTTTGATTAGGGCAAAACTGTAGAGACTGGGAGAGGCAGATGGCTTTGAGAGACATTTGGGAGGTAAAACTCTAAGACCTGGTGTCTGTCTGGCTCTGGGAGTGAGGAAGAGGCAGTGGTGGTGAAGCCACTGTTATTTTGTCATCTCTCCCTGCTGCCCCTGTGCAGTCCTTAGTCCTTTGGAGGCTCATCTCTGCCTTCTGTGAGTTGCCATTTGCCTGCAATTCTCTTTACCATATGAATGGTTTCCTGCCTATGTAAAAATCTTGCTGTACTGCCTATTAGCTGTGTGACATTGGACAATTTCTCCCACTACAGGTCTGTTACAGTCATCTGTTGTACCTTTAGCACTTAGTAGACATGTTTAAAACATGACTGTTAAATAAATAATTCATTAATTCATTAACAAATACAGCAAGGGATAAGACCAAATGCCAGTTCATAAAAGCCAGGAAACCATATCTATAGGCAATCCCATGAACAGTGTGGTACAGAAGAAAGACCATGAGGCCCAGAGACTGAAGCTCAAGTTGTAGTGTGGCCCTAAGACTGACTGTTGTAGTGTGGCCCCTAAAACTGATCATAGACAACTTCCTGTACTTAATCTGTCCGAATCCCAGTGTCCTCACTTCTGTCCCCATGGAGCTGACAACATAGTCACTACCCTCAGAGTATCGCGTTCACATGGGGTGGACTTGGATCCTCCTTACTAATCACGTGGGCTCAGGCAAGCTGCTTAGTTGCCCCGAGACCTAGTTTTTTCCTTAAATAAATTAGGGACAAAAATCCCTTGTCTCTCCCATTTCTAAGAGCCAGTAGCCTCCTTGGAGGAGTGTAATGACGAAGAATATGGACTCCAGGCTGTATCACCTGGGCTCTGAAACTTACAATTGTAGGACCTTAAGCAAGTCACTTGAACTCTCTGGCCTCAGCTTACTACATTTCTTAATGGGGATGATAATAAAGAGTCAGTGTCATACAAGTATTTATTGCATAATAAAAAGTATAGTACTAACCAGGTGCCTGTGGCTTATGCCTATAATCCTAGCTACTTGGGAGGCTGGGATCAGGGGGATTGTGGTTTGAGGCCAGCCTGAGCAAATAATTCTCAAGACCTCCATCTCCAAAATAACCAGAGCAATGGACTGGTGGTGTGACTCAAGTGGTGCAGCACTTGCTTTGCAGGCATGAAGCCCTAAATTCAAACTGCAGTCACCCCCCCAAAAAAAAAGAAACCCACTCCCCCAAAATGTATACTATGTCCCCAAATTCAGCACAGTGTATGACACATAGTAAGTGCTTATTAAGGATTGGTTTCTCTTCCTGATTTAGTGCTTAGAACATGGCTCATTAAAACTAAGGGCTATCTGTCCTCTGCTGGATCCCGCCTCCCTCACCCCAGCATTGTACTGGGCCCTAACTTGGAGCTCCTGTCCCAGCTTCCAGGTACAACCACTTAGCAAAGCACCTGTCCTCTCCCGCAGTCAGCAGGCTTCATCACACATTCTCGCGCTGCCCCTGTCAGACATTGCTCAAACACATAATTACAGCCCGAGTGGTGGGGTTATTTGCATTCTGCTATTGATGTTAGCATGACAGATTCAGCTGCTGCATCCATAACTCTGCAGAAATGCTCCATTATTCAATCCCAGCGAGCAGGGACGTTGACCATTAAATCAGCTAGCACAATTGAAGGGCCGTGAAAAGTCATGGCTAATTTGAAATTTTATTAGCTCTTGCCTGCTCTTGTTTACCGCCAAAGCAGTCGCTGGAAGCCAGTCTTTACCTCTTTATAAACACCTGGCTTTGTGGCCCCTGGGAAGAGCTGTTCAGGAGGGATGTCTGCTTGCAAGCCCTGGAAAAGGTGAGCCAGGAATGATGGTGATTATCATTAATGTCTACATTAAACTGATGATAAATCACAGCAATGACTGTGTGCCAGGCATTGTGCTAAATGCTTACAAGAAATATGTTGCTGGATCCTTCTAACCCAATGAGGTATGCACTGTGGTCACTGTCATTTCAGAGAGAAGGAGGTGGTAAAGTAACTTGAAAGGTCATGTAGGTGGTCAGTGAAGAAGCTGATTTGGGATTTGAACTCAGTTCTTTCTGAGTTATGGAATGTTCTTTGAGCCACCCTGGAGAGGCTCTTGGGAACAAGTGCTTGAGAAGAACGTGTACTTGTGGAAACCTAGTGAAACACTATTCTCCTGTGCTCTGTTCAGTGCAGAATATTCTGTATTGTGTGCTTCTCTTCAGCCAGATGACCTGGATTGGATTCACTTCCCACGTGGGACCTTGTACAAGCTGCTTAACTTCTCTAAACATTAATATCTTCAAATTACACAGGACAGGCAAAGAAAGATAGTTCATTCCTTCGGGTCATGAATCCTCTGCTATAGCCAGGTGTGAAGCACAAAGCTTCCTGTGGGCTTCTTGTGACAAACTTTCCTCAAACTTTTGTTTGAAAAGTTTTCAGAGAGCTTTTACACTGACAATCTGTCTTTAAGCCTGGGACCAAGCATGCATTCGCACTCCACAGTGAGTCACATGCCATGCCATCGGCCCTTTATTTTAGGACCCATGTCTTCCATGAGTTCTGGAAAGTTTTGCTATAAGCTCTTTGAATGTTCCCCTCTCCTTTTCTCTCTATTCTTTTCTTCAGAAACAATTCTAAATGTTTAAAGAGTCTTCCATCTTTCACATCTCTAACCTCTTTCTCAATTTCCATCTTTTTTATCTGTGTTTCATTCTGATTTATTTCTTCAGCTCTCTATTCCACTTCACTTATTTCCCCTTCATTTGTGTCTGGCCTGCTGTTTAATTTGCTCTTTGGATCATTAATCTAAATGACCATACTTTAAGCTTCTAGATAGTCTCTTTGGAACTTTGCAAACTCTGCCTGTTCTTTCTTGATAGGATCTTGCTCCATACTTAGGGTTTTAGATATCATTTTATCTCTTTAGTCACATAAAACTGATTTATGTCATAGTCTCTCTCAGATTAAGTTTTGGGGAGTGGTAATCTTTTTGTACGTTGGGATTGTTGACACAGCCTATAGTCAACCATTTCCTGCATGTTCTATGATCGTCCGAGCTCCGGAGCAGCTTGCCTGTTACATGGGGATCTCACATGATTGAACTAACCCTCCAGAGTGGCTTCTGGCTACTTCTGCCTTCCACCCCAGGGGTACCACTAGTCTGGCACTGCTTTCCAGGTGCTTCTCCTAGGTTGGTGTTCTGCACCATTCTGGATTTCAAGGCCTTTGTGAAGTAGCTCCATCTCTCACAGCAGATCCCTCCCTATCGTGCCCCTTAGCGTCAGGACAGAGAATGCCTCAGTGTCTAGGCATGGGTTTTAGTCCTGGCTTTTGAGGGCCCCAGCTGTCTTAGGACCTCAGCTGCAGTGCCCCACTGTGACTGTGCACTGACTCTGAGCCTGTTGCCCTGACTTTCGGTTTCATGTCCCTGCTGGATGCAGGGCTCCCCTGTACTCTCTTTTCTACTTTGCAAAGCACTGAAAACGAATTTTTGTACCTGGTGGTCAGAGGGTCTTTATAATTGACCTAATTGGTCATTTTGCTGGAAATAAATATCCCAGCAAAAGCTCTGAGCTTCAGTTCTCCCCTCTTTTAAATGAATCCTCAAATCTACTTCACTGAGATGTTGTGAGGATTAGGCATGGCCAGGGAGGTGAAGCTCTTCACCTGGTAAGGGAGCAGCTGAGTAAGGACCTGGCCAACGGCAGGGACCAGGAGCTCTTGGCCACCGGCTTCCCTTGCTCTGGTTTCCTGGTAACAGGGTTGCCATTTGGTCCTGCCCAGTCCCTCTCGCTGTACACACTCCAGGGCAGTCCTCTCTGAGTGTGCCTTGGCTTTTGAGAGTGGAAGTGGATAAACCCAGCCACAGCAGCACACTTGCAAGTCAGGGTAGCGGAGCTCTCAGAGCGCTTGCAACAGAGAGGCTCTCTGAAATGAGCTGTCACAGAAACCATACTCTTCCCTTAGATCCTGGGGCTGTGGAGTTGTTCACAGTGTGCTTTGTGAGTTAGAGTGACTAATGCCAGGTCAGGAATTCTGTCTGCTTACGCCTTGCTATGTGGATGCTTCCTACTGACACTTTGGGCAAATATTTTTTGGGTAGCAAATGTGGGCAAAACTTCCATCAGTAGAGACCGTCATATTTAAATGATATACATATTTTTGAAATGAGTAGGTCCATTTGAAATCCCTTCAAAGGCTGCATTTTACAAGACCAGCTTTTGCGTAAAACCCTCTTTATGTTTTCAGAGGCACCATATGGCAGCCCCAACACTGCATATGGCTGCTGCAGGCCTTTCACAACTCAATTTTCTTAGGCATACATGACAAATTTTAAAAGATTTGTATTAAGTGGAAAAGGTGTGCTTTGGGGTCAGAAAAGAAAATTCTGGAGTAGAAACACCTCAATATGTAATCTGGG